AAGTCAGGAAAGGAGTGTGTCAGGGTTGTATCTTTTCACTATACTTATTCAATCTGTATGCTGAGCAAATAATCCAAAATTCTGGACTTTATGAACAAGAACACGGCATCAGGATTGCAGGATGATTCACTAACAACCTGTGATATGCAGATGACACAATCTTGCTTGCTGAAAGTAAAGAGGACTTGAAGCACTTGCTGATGAGGATCAAAGACTATAGCCCTCAGTATGATTTACACCTCAACATAAAGAAGACAAAAATTCTCACAACTGAACCAGTAAGCAACATCATGATAAACGGAGAAAAGATTGAGATTGTCAAGGATTTCATTCTGCTTGGATCCACAATCAATGCCCATGGAAGCAGCAGTCAAGAATTCAAACACCACCTTTCAGCCAAATAACGAACTGGGCCATAAACTAAACAATAACATCCGTGAAGAATGTGCTCCTTAGAACAGTAGACCATACAAGACTGAAAGGACATTTGCCCAAAACCAAAGATGAGAAGACAGGGAGGGATAGGAAAAGTGCACTAATGAAAATGGGGAACCCAGAGAGGAAATGGGGAGAGTGCTGACACATTATGGGGATTGCAATGAAGATCATTAGACAATTTGTATAAGAATAATTTATCGTAAAATTAATTTGCTTTGTAAACTTTCACCTAAAGCACAATAAAATGTCAAAAAAAAAAAAAAAAAGAATCAAACGTCTTTTTGAATTGGGAAAATCTGCTGCAAAAGTCCTCTTTAAAGTGTTAGAAAGTAAAAATGTCACTTTGAGAGCTAAGGTGCACCTGACTTAAGCCATGGTATTTTCAGTTGCCTCATATGCATGCAAAAACTAGGCAATGAATAAGGAAGACTGAAGAAGAGTTGATGCCTTTGAATTATGGTGTTGGTGAAGAATATTGAATATACCATGGACTGCCAGAAGAACAAACAAATCTGTCTTGGAAGAAGTACAGCCAGAATGTTCCTTGGAAGCCGGCAGTGTTGTTGTTGTATGCCATCAAGTTGATTTTGACTCATAGTGACCCCATGTGACAGAGTAAAACTGACTCTTAGGGTTTTCTTGGCTGTAATTGTGGGAGCAGAGTGTCTTTCTCCTGCTTTTCCACTGGGTGAGTTCAAACCGCCGACCTTTCAAATAGCAGCCAAGCATTTAACTGTAGCACCAGGGCTCCTTTAGTAAAAGTTAAACCTACTTTATTGGAAGCTCCAAACTTCTCTTTCTTTCATTCAAATATAGGTTAGTAACCTGAACTGTTGATAACTTTACTTCTCTGCCTTCTTGTTAAACAATGGACTTAGGTGCCTTCAAGTTGCTTCCAGCCAATAGTGACCCTGTGTACAACGGAATGAAACACTGCCCGATCCTGCGCCATTCTCGCAGTCATTGCTATGCTTGAGCCCATTGTTGCAGCCACTGTGTCAGTCCGTCTTATTGAGGATGTTCTTTTTTGCTGACCTTCTACTTTACCAAGCATGGTGTCCTTTGGCAGGGACTAGTCCCTCCTGATAATGTGTCCAAAGTACGATAGATGAAGTCTCACCATCTTTGCTTTCAAGGGGCACTCTGACTGTACTTCTTCCAGGACAGACTTGTTCATTCTTCTGCAGGCCATGGTATATTCAATATTCTTAGCCAACACCATAATTAAAAAAGGCAGCAATTCTTCAGTCTTCCTTATTCATTGTCCAGTTTTTGCATGCATATGAGCCATTGAAAATACTATGATTTATGTCAGGTGCACCTTAGTCCCCAAAGCGACGTCTTTGATTTTTAACACTTCAGAGCAGTCTTTTGAGCAGATATGCCCAATGCAATACATCGTTTGATTTCTTGACTGCTGCTTCCTTGGGCGTTGATTGTGGATCCAAGTAAAATGAAATCCTTGACAACTTCCATCTTTCCTCCATTTATCATGATGTTGCTTATTGGTCTGGTTTGAGAAGTTTTGTCTTCTTTATGTTGACATATAACCCATACTGAAGGCCGAAGTCTTTGATCTTCATCAGTAAGTGCTTCAAGTCCTCTTCACTTTCAGCAAGCAAGGTTGTGTCATCCGCATATCACAGGTTGTTAATGAGTCTTCCTCCAATCCTGATGCTGTGATCTTGTTCATATAGTCCAAATTTTTGGATTGTTTGCTCAGCATACAGATTGAATAAGTATAGTGAAAGGATACAACCGTGACACACACCTTTCCTGACTCAAATCCATGTAGGATCCCCCTGTTCTTTTTGAATGACCGCCTCTTGATCTGTGTGCAGGTTCCTCATGAGTACAATTAAGTGTTCTGAAATTCCTGTTCTTTGCAGTGTTATCCATAATTGTTATGATAATTGTTATGATCCACACACTCCAGTTATGATCCACACACTCTCTGCTTTCATCAAGTTCCGTCTGACATTAGCAATGATATTCTTCATTCCATGTCCTCTTCTGAATCCAACTTCAACTTCTGGCAGTTCTCTATCTATGTACTGCTGCAACCGCTTTTGAATGATCTTCAGCAAAATTTTACTTGCATGTAATATTAATGATATTGTTTGATAATTTCTACATTCTGTTGGATCACCTTTGTTTGGAATGGGCACCAACATGAATCTCTTCCAGTTGGCTGGCCAGGAAGCTGTTTTCCAAATTTCTTGACATAGACAAGTGAACACCTCCAGCACTGTGCCCTTTTGTTGAAACGTCTCAATTGATATTCCGTCAGTGTCTGGAGCTTTGTTTTTCATCATTCCCTTCGATGCAGCTTGGACTTCTTCCTTCAGTACCATCGGTTCTTGATCATATGCTACCTCCTGAAACAGTTGAACATCGACCAGTTCCTTTTGTTACAGTGACTCTGTGTATTCCTTCCATCTTCTTTTGATGTTGCCTGCATCATTTAATATTTTCCCTGTACAATCCTTCAATATTGCAAATCGAGGCTTGAATTTTTTCTTCAGTTCTTTAAGCTTGAGATGTGCCAAGTGTGTTCTTCCCTTTTGGTTTTCTGACTCCATGTCTTTGCACATTTCTTTATAATACTTTACTTTGTTTTCTCGAGCCGCCCTTTGAAATCTTCTGTTCAGTTCTTTTCCTTCATCATTTCTTTGTTCACTGTAGCTACTCTAAGTTCAAGAGCAAGTTTCAGAGTCTCTTCTGTTATCCATTTTGTTTTATCTTTCTTTCCTGTCTTTTTAATGACCTTTTGCTTTCTTCATGTATAATGTCCTTGATGTCATCCCACAGCTCGTCTGATCTTTGGTCATTAGTGTTCAGTGCACGAAATCTATTCTTGAGGTTGTCTGTAAATTCAGGTGTGATATGCTCAAGGTTGTTATTTTGGCTCTTCTGGACTTGTTCTAATTTTCTTCAGCTTTAACTTGAACTTGCATATTAGCAACTGATTGTCTTTTCCACAGTCAGCCCCTGGCCATGTTCTGACTGATGATATTGAGCTTTTCCATTGTCTCTTTCTACAGATGTATTCAGTTTGATTCCTGTGTATTCTATCTGGTGAGGTCCATGTGTATAGTTGCCATTCATGTTGTTGAAAAAAGGTATTTGCAATGAATAAGCTGTTGGTCTTGCAAAATTCTGTCACGTGATCAGTGGTGTCCTTTCTGTCACCAAGGCCATATTTTCCAACTATGGTTCCTTCTTTGTTTCCAACTTTCACATTCTAGTCACCAATAATTATCCGTGCATCTTGATTGCATGTTTGGTCATCTGCAGAAGTAGGTAAAAATCTTCAATTTCCTCATCTTTGGCTTTAGTGGTTGGTATGTAAATCTGAATAATAGTCATATTAACTGGTCTTCCTTGTATAGGTGTATGGATATTATCATATCAATGACAGACTTGTACTTCAGAATGGATCTTGAAATGTTGATTTTTATGATGAATACAATGCCATTCCTTTTCAATTGGTCATTCCCCACATAGTAAATTATATGTTTTTCCTTTTCAAAATGGCCAAATATCAGTCCATTTCAGCTCTCTGATGCCTAGAATATTGATCTTTATGCAGTCAGTTTAACTTTTGACGACTTCCAATTTTTCTGTATTCATACTTCACACACCCATGTTCCGATTATTAATGTATGTTCGCAGCTGTTTCGTCTCTTTTTGAATTGTGCCACCTCAACAAATGAAGCTCCCGAAAGCTTGACTCCATCCATGTCATTAATGCAACTCTACTTTGAGGAGGCAGCTCTTCCCCAGTCTGTTGAGTGCCTTCCAACTTGAGAGGCTCATCTTTCGGCACTATACCAGTGTTCCGCTGGTATTCATAAGGTTTTCACTGGCCAGTTTTTTCAGAAGTAGATTGCCACGTCCTTATTCCTAGTCTGTCTTAGTCTGGAAACTCTGTAAAACCTGTCCACCACGGGTGACCCTACTGGTATTTGAAATACCAATGGCATAATTTGCAGCATCACAGCAACAAGAAAGCCACCACAGTATGACAACCTGTCAGACGCATGGGAGGACTTTGATTAGGTAATATCTGATGTCCTTCTTGGAGCCCTGGTGGCGCAGGAGTTAATTATTCAGCTGCTCACCAAAAAGTCAGCCATTGAATTCTCCATCCGCTCCTTGGAAACCCTATGAGGCAGTTCTACTTTGTCTTATAGGGTCGCTATGGGTGGGAATCGACCTGATGGCAATGGGTTAATATCCATTTTGCTAGATCTTATAATTCATCTCTTCAATATTTTTCTTCATGGTTTTTTGAAACTTAGAAGAAAGGTAGTTTTATTGTAGTGGTAAATTAAAGTTTTTTTTTTTTTTTTTTTCTTTTATCAAAAAATGTTAGGTTTTTTTTTTTGTAAGGTGTGATTTATTCAAGTATATTTTAATGTTATCTAAATTATTTCTCAAAGACTCCTCTCTTAGATGAATTTCTGGACTGATATTGCTACTTTGTATTTTTAAAAATTTTAAGTGCTGTTAAACCTGTTAACCGAATCCTAATGTATATGAATTATTCTTTTTCTCAGAGTGAAGATACACAACAACAAATCATCAGGGAGACATTCCATTTGGTTTCTAAGAGAGATGAAAATGTTTGTAATTTCCTAGAAGGAGGACTGTAAGTAAAGCAATTCATAGATGTTTCTAATCTTTGACTATATCATTAAAATCTGTACTATTTAATCAATTTGTAGTAAAAGTGTCCTAATTTTGATTATTTGGAATAGATCAGTTAATTAACTACTACCTATGTTAGTTATGGAGCCCTGGTGACACAGTGGTTAGGAGCTTGGCTGGTAGCCAAAGGTTGGCAGTTTGAATCCACCAGCTACTCCTTGGAAACCCTATAGGACAGTTCTACTCTGTCCTATCATGTCACTGTGAGTCGGAATTGACTTCACAGCAGTGGGTTTGGCTTTTGGTTTTTATGTTAGTTATAAATCTAACTTAAAGAATTTTTTTTTTTATGATATACGATCTTTTTTTAGTTTTTCTTTTTAAAGTTTCGGTAAGGGCATTTTATATAAAGGGTAATATATTCATATGATAAAAATTAAAATATTACAGGGAAGTATAAAATAAGTCTCCCTTTCCCAATCAGTCCTTCTTCCTAGTTTCTTGTGTTTCCTTCTAGAAAATTAACTTTGCATTGACTCATATAAAAGTATAGTGTTAAAATTTTTTTGCTTTTGAGATCACACTATATATATGGTTTGCATGTTGCTTGTTTTCACTTAATATTTTTTTACATATAAGCACAGTAGAGCAACCTCATTCTTTTTAATGACTACAGTGTGTGCCTTAGGCCTAATGTACCTGTTCATAAAATATCATATCATATGCTGTTCAAATCATATATCATCTCTTCCTCTCTCTCTCTCTCTCTCTCTCTCTCTCTCTGTGTGTGTGTGTGTATAAAGAGAGAAATCAGAATTCAGCTAATAGATTTGTCTATTTTTAAAATAAATAAATAAGAATCACTTATAATTATCTTGCCATCTATTATAAATACTTTAAAATGAATCGCTACCTTGAAATCAACTTACTCTCCAATAGTTGAATAAATTTCATCTCCCATGCTTATGTAATTAATATTCTTAATAAGATATTTTCTCACAGGCAGTTTCAAAACCATGCTGATCCCCATTATGAGTAAATCACAGGTTAGAGAAACCTAGACTTTTCTGTATTTTAATGGGTATGATACATATAATGCATAATAGTTCAGTTCACAGAATTTATTGTCTGACCATGGATTACTTTTTATCATGTAGGAAGTTTAATTTCTTAAAAGGTTATGTAATGTTGCTCTTGAAACGTATAGATAAATTTATACTTTGTAAATTTTGCTGTTTACTCAAGGTGTCCCTTTTAATAGTTGAGACAAGTGCACCTGCTTTCTGTTTTATATCTAATTGTACTTACTTGTCTTATACTTCTGTGGGAGTTTAGTCATCTTCATCCTAGTCTCTTGATCTCTTATCTCACAGGAAAGTTGTCACCCAGCACAGTACACTATATGTAGTAAACATGCAAGAACCTGATTGATCTAACTAGGGCACTGTTTGTGCTAGAAATTATGTCTGGAATTTGTGATATTCATTTCTCCAACCTTATAAAAAGTAGAAAGCAAATGTTTTCAGAATCTGGTCCAGTTCTAGTTTTATTACTAACAAGCTCGTTTCCTTGGTCAGGTCACTTAAGTTCTTGGGTTTCAGTTTTCTGTTTAAAATGAAAGTTTCGAGCTAAGAGAATTTCTGAAATTCTATGGTTTTATGTGGTGTATTACATTCCATAGTGAGCCCTGGTGGCACAGTGGTTAAGTGTTTGGCTGCTAACCAAAAGATCAGAGGTTCAAAGCCACCAGCTGCTCCTTGGAAGAAAGATGAGGCAGTCTGCTTCCGTAAGGTTTACGCCTAGGAAGCCCTGTGGGGCAGTTCTACCCTGTCCTACAGGGTCACTATGAGTCAGAATCGACTCGATGGCAATAGGTTTGTTTTTTTTTTTTAGGTTTATTATGTTCCATACAAGAATTCATATCAGTATTTATCATCAGTATTTACTGTAGTTTAAAGATGAAATTGTATTTTTAAAGGCAAAATATTTATTAGCCATATTAATATCTTTGCTTTCTTATTAATAGTTATCTTGAAACTTAAAGTTTTCAAAAGTTTTGTCCTTTTAAAACAAAGCAAAACAAAAATTTTAAGATAATTATTAGATTGAGGATGAATCAAAGCCTGTTACGTTCTTTTTGTCTCTTAAGGGAGCAATTGAAATCATAGTCTATAAATATAATACCAGAGAATCTTTAAAGTACATGTACATATTTTTTAATTAAGTATCCTTTTACAGAGGCAATTATCTAGCATAGTAAACCAAAAAACCAAACCAAACCAGTTGTCATTGAGTCGATTGCAACTCATAGCGACCCTGTAGGATTTTTAAATTATTGTCAAAGATCATTTCCACTTTTGCTGTTTGAGGACATAAAAGTAGTGTATGTTTAGAGAAGTTGTTTGATTTCAACAGCTTATAAGTTTAGTGTTATTTTTACTGAGCAAGAAATAGATGCTGTTTTACTCTGGCCTACTTGAATGTTCAGTTAGCTTTGATTATATTTAGCCTTGATTTTTAAATTGTTAGTGTTAAAGGGTCATTTGAGAATATGAGTTAATTATTATGAACTTAACTATGAAATTGCTGAAATATGTTTAGAAAAATATAAAATGTTTGGAATGGTTCCCAGATTATGATTTAAAAAATTCTGAAATTCTAATCAATATAAATAAAAATATTTGATGAAAGAATTGAGTATCTCGATTCAGTTTTCTTGCACTTACATTCCAAAACAAAATGTATTTTTGGAGGACATCTTGATGATAAATCTATCTAAAATGTAAGAAATATCGTTCTTTTTTTTTTCCTAGTTTATAATGAGTCTTAAGCTGTGTAACTTACTGTGACCTGTAGAGTAAAATCTAGTAGGCACTTACAGATGCCCTGTGATCTGATTTCTGCCTGCTTCTTTGCACTCAGTGTTGACTATTCTTTCCTTGTACACTGACTAGCCTTCTTCTGTTCCTTGAACATACATACTTTGTTCTTGATGAAATGACCTTTTTATTAGTTGCTACCTTTACCTGAAATGTTCTTCTCCAAGTATTTTCATGTCCAACTTCTTATTATATGTCAGCCTAAATGTCACTTTTTTTATTATTACCTGGTCTGAAGTAGCAAATCCATCAATACGGCATCATCCTATTTTGATTTTCTATGTAACATCTTCTACTATTTGATAATTTTCTTATTTATTTGTTTATTTCTCCCACTGTCAGTGCCTGGCACATAGTAGATACTCAGTAAATATTTTAATAAATGAATGAACTATAGTTACACACCAGCTTCTTTTACTTGACATTTCTGAAGAAAACAGGCATCTAAATTTATTCAGTCTCTGAAATAAGTTCACTTGAATACTTGTGCCATTAAATGTTAACTTTCATTTTACAAAACGTTTTTAAACAAGTTATCAAGTTGCTTGAGCTAATGAAAATGTTTTGCATTTTGTTCCCTATAACATTCCAGTTGTTTTGTTTTGTCATTTAGGTTAATAGGAGGATCTGACAACAAACTGATTTATAGACATTACGCAACATTATATTTTGTCTTCTGTGTGGATTCTTCAGAAAGTGAACTTGGCATTTTAGATCTAATTCAAGTAAGTTAACACATGCGTCTTACTTTCTTAAATAACAGTTTTGGCATTCTTATTTAAAACACTTGTATGTTCTCAATTTTCTAAAATGACTTTTTTTTTTTTGGTAAGAAATAAAGTGTTCCATAGTAGATATTGGGTGGGTGAAAGAAGAATGAGGGGTGGAGAAATAAGTAGACTAATTTAATTGGGTTAAGACTAATCACAACTCATTGCATCCTACCCTTTCCTGTTTGTGTAAGTCCAAGAAGCCCAAGGCTAGTGAGTCTCTAACCATGTGTGGCTCTGCATACCACAACCCAAATGACCCCTAAACCTACCTCTCCTTGCTCCTGAAAATCTTTCATAATGTCCCTGGGACTCAAGGTCAATCATCAGTAAACTCCTCTTTATCTTCAACCTCTTCTGTTAATTTTTACCTTTACCTTTTTTGTTCTAACTTAAATCTGGCTTCCCTAGTCACACTACCTGCAACCCTCTCAAGTGGTAGCCATTTTGTCTCCTACTTCCCTTACACCGTTGCACCTGGAGGTGTTCTCTTTGCTTCTCATTGCTACTTCCAGACCATTTTCTTTTCTAAAACTCCTCCAACTTTGACTCTCACGTTATAAACTACACTGTCTTCCACCCATCCTGTTGCAGTCATTTCTCATCCTCACCTCCCATTCATTGAAGATTATGTCAAGGACTTGTCAAGGGTATGAGACTTTACTCTACCTTGAAAGCTAACAGATTAACCTGCCACAGTTTCATGGAGGCTGGCAGAGGACATGAGACTCCTTGGGCAGAGACAGAGGACTTTATTACTAACAACGGAAGCAATAGCTAGAGTAAAAGCGTTTGCTTGTGCTGGTTCCCCAAGTCACAGTTCCCAACAGGTGATGTGAAGTGGGCCAAGTGATACTTGCATACATAGTGGGTTGAGTTACAGGAGAGGAACTTCAGACTTAGGGACCTGGAATCTTTTATAATGGGCACTAAACATATCTGTCTTTTGTCCCAGAAGACGCAATCTCTTTCTTTCAAGGTGTAGGTAAACCTACCATTTGTTCCAGAGGGAAGGACTCTATTTTCCAAGGCTGTTTGCTATACAAATAACCTTGAAAATATAGTTCAGAACACAAGTAGTCAGTGCCTTTGCTTACAATATGTACAGAAATGCCATACACATGGAGAATTGTCTCCTAACAGATTTTAGTTCCTAGTTCAGTAACTTTCACTCAGACACTACTTGTGTTGTAATTCTTGCTGATTTAAATATTCATATGGATAATTCTTTCAATACCCTGGTGTCTTCAAACCTGTGACTTCTCTTCTCCAATGAATTTGTCCTCTACCTCACCTCAGTGCTTATTTCTAGACCATGTTGTTGTTCAAACTGCAGCCCCTCCATCATCTCAATTTCACATAGTCCACTCTCTGTCTACCATGTCTTAAATTTTAATATCATTATTTCTATTGCTGCAACAATTCTTCAAGCCTTTTTGGGATCCTCAGTCTTTTCTCACTGTCCCTGACCCTCCTGATATCTTGCTTCACTTAAATTCCATGGTCAATCATTATTACTGTAATTTTTTAGACACTTAGCTCCTTGCCTGGATTGTTGCAATAGTTTCCTGACTGGTCTACCTGTTCCCACTGTTGACTCCCATTTCATCTTTTTTCAGTGCAACAGCCAGCATGTTACAATTGACATATATCAGATCTTGCTCTCTTCCATTCTAAACCCTCTGATGGCTTCCCTTTTTACTCAGAGTAAAAGCTGAGTTTCTTATTACCCAAGAGGCCTCATAAGGTATAAGTCACCTCTCTACACCCCGTTATTTAACTTCATCTTCTACCCCTTTTCCCTTTGCTGCAGCCACACTGGCCTTGATGTTCCTCAAATATGCAAGGCATGCTTCTACCTCAGAGCCTTTGTGCTTGCTGATCTTTGCACCTAGAATGTTCTTTTGTTAGATATTTGCATAGCTATCTTCATCATTCTTTCAGGTCTTGACCAAGATGTTGTCTTCTCAATATGATATTCCCTGGCCATTCTTTCTAAAAATCCTCCCTCTGTTTGATGTTTCCCAGCACCTTTCCTGTTCTATTAGCACCTATTACCATCAAATATATATTTGACTTACTTTATCTTGTATATTGTTATTTACCCTCACTAGAATATAAGCTGAGGGCATTGGTGGTTCAGTGGTAGAATTCCCATTTTGCCCATGGGAGACCTGAGTTTGATTCCTGGCCAGTGCGTGTCAAGCACAGCCACCACCTGTCTGTCAGCAGAGACTTGTGTGTTACTGTGATGCTGAACAAGTTTCAGCAGAGCTTTCAGCCGAAGGCTAGGAAGAAAGGCCTGGTGATATACTTCTGAAAATCAGCCATTGAAAACCCTATGGATCACAATAATCCAATCCTGTTGTACATGGGATGTCCGTGAGTTGGGGCCAACTCGATGACGGGTAACAACACCACCACCAACAGGTTATAAGCTTGATAAGGGCTAGTATTTTTGTTTATTTTGTTTACTGATTTATTTCTAGTGGCCAAAATGAGACCTGGCACATAATGCATTCTCAACAGGTAATTGTTAGATGAATTAGTATATTTAATGCACAATTACTAGCATTCTGTATAAAATAACTTTGATAGCAAAGCCCAGATGTTAATTAGAAGGAGGAGAAAGTTAGCTAGAAAGATAAAATATAGTAGTTGTTACATGCTGGTAATTTTTTTTTTTTTTTTTAATCTCGGTGTGTGTTACATTGCTGTTTCATTTGTGAGAACCATTAAGCTCTATATGTACTTGTAATTTTTGTACTTTCTTGTATGTCATACTTCAGTAAAAAGTAAAAAAATTAACTTTTCCACAGTAAAAATATAGTTGCTATAAATAATTTTATTGGGTTAAGAGTATCATGAGAAAATACTCTGGACTTATGTTTTCTTCCTCTTTCTTGATCCTGGACAGTGCAAAAATATAGGGCCATGGCATAGGTAAGTTGTAGATTGGAGAAAGCTGCATGCAAAAAAGGAAGTCTTCTTTGCCAAGCAAGTTTCATATTTTTGAAAGCAGGAAGGAGACATGGTTTGAGCTGTATTTAGAGTTATAGAATAAATGTGAAATTAGCCAAAGCAGAAAGGTTTGGTAATAAATTCTGAGGCCCAAAGCTTAAAAATAACAAAAATGACTAAATTAAGGGTTTAAATGTTATGGATTGAACTGTTTCCCCCTAAAATATGTGGTGTAAATCCTAATACCTACACCTGTTTTTATAATCCCATTTGGGAAAGGGTTTTCTTTGTTAAGTTAATGAGATAGTATTAGTGTAGGGTATGTCTTAAGTCAGTCTCTTCTGAGACATAAAAGAACAGTTTAAGCAAGAATTAAGCAAGCAGAGATGGGGGAAGATAGATGGCAAGCCCTATGAAGATCTCTGAGGAATAGAAGCTCAAAAGAGACAAGGACCTTCCTCAAGAGCCAACAAAGAGAGAGAGAAAGCCACCTCCTAGAGCCAGCAGGACCCTGAATTTGCACTTTTAGCCTTCTAAACTGTGAGAAAATAAATTTGTTTGTTAACGCCATCCACTTGTGGCATTTCTATTATAGCAGCACTAGACAACTAAGACAGATGCTAAAAACTGTTAATAAACAAACAAACAAAAAGAGAGACAGAGAAATGTGATAAGTGAAGCTATTAGTATGCCAGATTACTCTTAAATCCATAATTCTTAAACTGGGTTATGAGGAGGAGCTATATATCAAAAAGATACAGGAATCCTCCAGCAATCATGGCCAACAGTCCTGGTGGTGCAATGGTTAAACTCTAGGCTGCTGACCGAAAGGTCGGTGATTTGAACCCACGAGCGGCTCCACAGGAGAAAAGACCTCGTGATCTGCTCCTGTAAAGATTAAAGCCTAGGAAACCCTATGGAACAGTTCTACTCTGTTGCATAGGGGCACTATGAGTTGGAATCAACTCAGTGGCACACGACATTATATGTGTGTGTGTGTGTGTGTGTGTGTGTGTGTGTGTGTGTGTGTGTGTGTGTGTGTATGCCTGTATATATATATGTTTAAGATTGGTGGTGGTCCATGTTCATGGATTGGAAGACTTAATATTAAGATGTCAGTACTACCCACAGTGAGCTGTAGATTCTTCCCATTCCTGATGATCAAAATTCCAACAGCCTTCTTTACAGAAATGGAAAAACCAATTCTCAACTTTATATGGAATGGCAAAAGGCCCTGAATAGCTAAAGTGATGCTGAAAGAGAAGAACAAAGTAGGAGGACTCACACTTCCTGATTTTTTAGCATATTATACAGCCACACTAATCGAAACAGTCCTACTGGTATAACAGTAGACACACAGACCAATACAATAGAATCGAGAGTCCAGAAATAAACCTGCACATTCATGGTCGACTGATTTTTGACAAGGGCGCTAAGTCCATTCGATGGGGAAAGAAAAGTCTCTTCAGTAAGTGGTGTTGGGCAAATTGCATTTCCCCATACAGAAAAATGAATCAGGATCCATGCCTCATACCAGACAAAAAAACGAATCACAAATGTGCAACCTAAAACCATAAAATTTTTAGAAGCAAATGCAGGGGCAGCACTGTCGGGCCTAGCTTTTGACAAAGGATTATCTAATATGATAACAAAAGCACAGACAGCAAAAGACAAAATAAATAAATGGGACTTCATAAAAATTAAAAACTTTTGTTCATCAAAAGACTTCAGCAGTAGAAGTGAAAAGACAAGCCACCAACTGGGAAAATTATCTTTGGACACCATATATCTGATAAGAATCTGATACATATAAATATATGTAAAACTTGGACATACTTAATGATAGACAAATAATCCAGTCATAAAATGAGCAACGGGCTCAAGTAGACATTTCACCAGAGAGGACATTCAGATGGCCACCAAACATGGAAAGATGTTCAGTGTCATTAGCCATCAGAGAGATCCAAATCAAAGCCACAGTAAGATATCATTTC